CCCATTCACCGAATATAGACTGGAAGGTGTAGAAGGTCAATTTCCTGCTCTTTACATCGCCTATTCGGTCACTTATTGACAAGAAATGAGGAAGTTGCTTCTGAGTTGACTTTTCTTATCTAAAGACCAAACAACTTACTTGCGGCTCACCTCACTCTCGAAAAAAACTGCTTACAACGTATAACGTAACTGAACAAGCATTTGACACATGGTGAGAAATTCTCAAAGGTGAATGCACAATTCCATTCAGCATCGCCAATGCCAAATTATGTTAGGCACCAGAGTTAGTTATCCAAATACTGTCCCTATCAGTCAGCCAACGTCAGGCCCTCACTGTGGTATGCAACGTCAAGAAGTGAGCTCATTTGCCACGATTCTGGCCAAATTCTGTTCATTTGGCATCTAAAGGATCGCCAAAGACAAATTCTAGCAAGCGCATATCCACGGGCATTTAATGGTCACAAATGGAGGGTAGGGCGGTTTCGTCGTATCCCTTCAATGTCATTCACTTCTCAGGCAAAAACCAACCTTTTAGGTAATCAAATCAAACAGTCAGCAGCATTTGCATCTGTCAAGCATGCCACTCTTTCGTTGCTCCTGCTGTGCAAAAGCAGTGGATCAAACAAAAAAGGGCAGGCGAATAAGCGAATGTAGGGGCTTTGATCCTTCGGCTATAAAGAGGTTAACCAATCACTGAAGTCTGCTCAATGAAAGGCGGCATCTTTAATGCCGCTTAAAGGCAAAAGAAGTCCTTAGCGGCACACAGCATATCATGTTGGCTCCACAGAGCAGATCTGCTTTTGTTGGAAGTTGCATTTGTCTGCTGTGTCCTCCAACTCAAGGATGCCCGTTTAGGAGATGTTCACCCCAGTGAGGAGGAATCCCAACTCACCACGTGCTAACGTTTTTCCTTCTTCGCTACCGCCTTTCCGAATATCGCACCGGCACAGCCTACTGACAACAGAGAGAGGAGACCTCGATATTGCTTTTGTGGAGCAAAAGTGGATGGAGAAGGGAATATGGGTGGTAAAGGAAGTTGTTCACAGGGAGAATGTAGTTAGTCGATACTCGGCCTCAGTTTAAAACATACCAAACCTGAGTAATGTAACCCTGAATCACACAAGAATGCAAGATTCTTAATTTGCATTCATTATGCTATGCAATGCAATGTAACGATGCTTTATTCACCTTGTCCTTTGTATCCACGCGTTGTGCCAACATGTGCAAGTATGATGGAAAGAGGGCAGCTGAGGGGTGAGCACAAGTTGAAGCAGATTTGAGAGGGACAGTAGAGCATAATGCAGTAGAGTGGAGTGGATGAGGTAACAAATGTCACCTAGCTTCACGTTGGCACTTCCAGCAGTAACCTAATGAAGAAAAATACCACAGCCTTTAAGTAAATTGCCCTTTTTGGAGGTGCAGCAAACGCTGGTATATTTGCAGTTCTTAATCGAATGCTGCAGCTGCATTCTACCCATCACAATCAAGGCAAAAGCAGAGCAATTTCTGCTTGGGCACTTTTTGTGCATGACATTAAAAACCCGAGCGTGTGCTCTGGACTGGAGGAAATTGGACCGTGGTTGTATACATTGCTAATTGCAACAACCTGTAGTAGTTTGCAAGGACCAGAGCAAACCTCCCCACATTTGTGCCAGAAAGAGAAGTACACAGAAGCACTTATGAATAACAGAATCAACCAGTTGTTCAGAAGAATGTCCCATCCAGTTTCTATCCTAACGATCTAAGGAATCGTACCACGGCAAAATATTCGCTTTTTAGAAACCTATCGAATGGTTAGGAGGGGGGAGAGATGGGGTGGAATTTCACCTCCTCCTAATGGTATACCTAACCTAACTTAAACAATCAGATGCACAGTCGACTGAATGATAGCGAAATCGGGAAGAAGCTGAACGCGGAGAGTGGGTAGTTACTCCTTTTCTGCCAAATGTTTTACCTATTAAAGAGGAATGTCCCATTTTAATTGGAATTAGTCTAGCAAATAGAATAATTTAGGAGGCATACTGCTACTCCACTGACAAGAAATGAATTTGCCCTATCACAGCGCAGACACACGAGTACACTTACATGCACCCACGCACGCTTTCGTGTCGTGGCGTTTTTCGCCACTTGGTT